TCTAATGATACCGTGATTCTTACTGTCTTGCAGGAATTGCTACTAGGTCTTAGAATATTGACATTCACCAGCAAGGAATGTTAAAACATGTCAGATAGTAAATGAATTGTTTGTAGGCAACTTTCTGTGAAATTATTTTGCAAGCTTGAATGGCTATACTGAAGATACATTGATAGAATTTCTAAAAATCTGAACTTGAGGAAATAGAGCATGAAGTTATTTTCATATAAGTATATAAGAGGAGTGTTTAATGTTACAAGAATGTATCTTTATCAAGACTTGCATGTTTTAGCCTTAACAAACATGACAATTTAAAGCTCAAGTGCCAAATTCAAAGTAATTTAACAACCAGGGGCTTTTTTATTCCAAAAAACTTAAAAGTTTTCTTAAACAAACAAGTTAAAAACTCCGTATCGCCCCAACAATAAAACCACACTCACTCACCCACTGTCATTGCTACAAGAACATTAGCCTCCCTTTTCTTGAATTGGACCAGCTTACTTTAAGCTGCAGCAAACATTGTCTGTCTCAGTCATCCCTGAACAGCTGATGAAAAGCAGCTGCAATGTTTGCATGAAAGCATTCTCAGTCTGGTTTCATTACCCACAACTGCTGTACCTTATACTACATGGTCCTACCACTAGCATTAACAGAACTGTGCAGTGAGGAGAATTTAACAAGCAGGAATTATCAATCCTCCACATACAGTAGTTAATGCCAATTAAATTTTAGTAGTGAAGTTATTTTGTGTAAGTCCTATGCAAATTGTTACCTCATCTTCTGTGAAGTTATACCTCAATAAAATGCCTTGATATGGACAGAAAAGCGTGTGTGTACTGGAATAAATTCCTACATTATCATTACATTTTCAAAAAATTTTAGATTTTGTCTAACAGGACTTAAGGTATTAACTATACTACTGCTTTGGCCATCTGTCAGTGATTTAACAGCTGGTTTTGCTATCATTTCTGTTTCTGAAAGATGCCATATTATAACAAGCACATAGCAGCCTCAGATCTCAAACTTCTTGGTCTCCTGCTCATCCTAATTAAGTGTGCAAAACAGTTCATGTATCGGTTTGGGGAAATTTTTGGTTGATTGGGTTTTTTGTGATTTTGTTATTGGGTTTTATTCCTGTTTTCTTTTTTAGCCAAAAGCCACGTGCTGAAGTGAGTGATCTGACAAATGTACTTGTTACGGCTGTTCAGTCTTTCAAATACTTTCCTCTGCTGTCCTGGCTGGTGAGGAAATGCATGTAATTTAAACACCGTTTTCTACTTACAGGTAGTTCAGAAAATTTGCCTTTTAGGCTTCTGATACTTTTTCTTCCTCCAAGCATATCTCTTAGGAGATCCATAGGGGTCTTCAGAGACTCAATCATTGACACAAGAGTCTGTCTTAGGACATGTAGAGAGCAACTTGGGTGTGAGAGTTAATTAGTCTCAATCGTCACTATTAAGCACAACTCAAGTCCCTTAGAAGGAGTCTTACCCTGCCATCTTTACTAGAAAGATTGCCTAAGCTGTGCTTCCAGCTATTCCCCTGCATTGCAGCTAAGATTGCTATGTCTCAAGTCTTTCTCTGAAAGACATCTTCAGCTCTGCAAAAGCAAATCCAGCTTTCTTCCATTGCTCCTCTTGGGTAGAACAAGAGAAGAGGAGGAGAAAGAGTCCTAGTCCTCCTAGTCACAGCAGTGGGGAGGGTAGCAATGATTAGTGCAGTCCACCACAAAGATGAGCTAATTCAGGTGCTCTTCACGGCTTCTACTTCAGTTATTAATACTTAACTAGTTCAGGTAGTAGCTCTCTGCACCCTTTAACCAGATTAAGGCTCTTGGCCTCCCTTGCCATAAGGGCACATTACTTGCTCCTCAGGGCAGCTGCTTCCCACCCAGCCTGTGATTCCTGCCCAGGAGCAGGAGTGGTGATTCCCTTCGTAGAGCTGCATGAGGTTCTTGTCTCATTTCCTGGGCCTGTCCTGCTCCCCTTGCGTGGCAGTGCCCCCAGCTGGCCTTCCAGCTACCCCTCTGGCTTTGTACCATCTGCAAACTTGCTGAGATCACAGGGATGCAGCACACAGGCCAAAGCAGCCTCACTTTAAACTGAAAAATAGTTACTGTTTCCAGTCCCAGGTGGTAATTGATTTATGCATCCTGACAGCACATGCCTTCACTTTTCTCCTCGAGTAGTAGAGAAGGCTTCTACAGAGCCCTGTCTTATTTAAGGGATTCAGAGATTTTTGCCTTACTGAAACAAAAACAAATGTAGTTACAAAAACTGGGGATATAGGCACTTCCAAAACAACTAGGTAAAAAATTTATTGTTCATCTGAACTGCTGACTAGCCTACACAGATTTTGGGTTTTTACCTAGAGCCCTGTACCTTTGTAAAAGAAGGGAGATGTAAGCATCAGTAGAAATGCAAAGCAAAGCTAAAATGAGTATGACTTTAAGTTATAAGAGTTGGGTGCCTGTTATGGCAAAAACAAGTCAAAAATGATAAAATAATCACTCTTTTCCTTTAAAAAACACTGAAACATTCAAAATTATGAAAACAGAAAATCCTCTTGAATCCTTGTAGAAAAAATAACTATGCATAAGTCCTAGAAAATATAACCTGCTTAAAGCATACCATGCTTTTCTCAAGCTACATAAGATGGTCTTTATCTCTAAACACACCTTTGTGAAAGCGTTTGGACTGAGGAAAATATACTGCCCACCTCCCATTCTGGACAGCTGACTGATGGTTCACAGGAGGCTGAGTACCAACAGTGCATAACCCTGGGAAATGACTAACAATGAAAATTCTTTTTTGGGAAGAAAGAAGGATTTGGCAAAATTCCTCTATCTCCACAAAACACCAGCTGTAAAAATCAAAATAACAAATTCCAGTTATGTTTGCACATCTCATCATTAAGTTTGCATACCACCTGTGTTTTTGTACTGTTCTGAAATACAAATAGTATTTTGATACACTGAAAGGAACATGGCAAAACCACACAGAAAGACACAGCAGCAGTTTCCTTGCTAGAACAGGAATTCCACTTGCCTCCCCACATACCCTAGTTAAGCCTCCTCTTTGAAATGTTGTGGTTATACTCACCTGGCTGTGTTTGCTATACCCACTAGCCCTGTCACACCCACATCTAAGAGAAGCATGGTAGTTGAGTCTAAAATTAGGAAAATCTTAGGCCATGCCTTCGTCAAAAGGACACATCACTCAAGATCAACTGTACATACGCTAATGTATGTACAAGAAACAAGATGACCCCATCTTCTGGGTATTTGAAAACAGACTTCATCATCTTGCTCAAAAGTCTTTTGGTAAACTTGATTTTGTCAAGTGACGAGAGCATGGTTCACTTACTAGTCAGCGTGGCCAGGACTTTTAACAGTTACAGCAGCAGGAAATGGCAGCCCGAAGAGCATGAGAGCAGTAGGAAAACTATTTATTTTAAGAAGGTAGAAATAGGTTTTGCCTTTTATACTGCCAGGCAGGAAGATGCAGGAGGGCCAGCAGCACAGGACGCTTGTATGCAGATACACCCAGTTAAATTCATGGGCACTAATCTTCACGCTCTGCCAGTATTTTTCTGAGTCATTTCTACTTCAGCTTGTTACACGTGATTGTCAGCCTCTACATGTCAGCTAACAAACAGCCAACAAATTAATATTTAAAAGAGGCCATAGTCCAAACTAGCTCTGCTAGTCTGGGTCTGCTATATCCAGGTAAAAAACCCAAAACACAAAGGGAAGAAAACACACCATTGATCTGTAAAACCAAGTGTTTTTGAAGCTACTATCAGTGAAGTTAAGAAAGCATTAAGCTGTAGAAACAATACCAAGTCCCACTGAGCTACTACTGAACAGGCACCTTCTAGAGTGAAGTCTGGAAATTGCCAGTAAGCAGGCAAGAACTAAAACACATTTGTCTTGTTTCTAGCAGACTTTGTACAAAAATAGGTGAGCTGGAAGCCAGACAGGCTATAAGAACCTGCTTGTGTCACATCGAGAAGTGCAGAATAGTCTTGTTGGCATAAATAAAAATAGCAAGAGTAATGTACCCAGCAACTCCACTCACCAGATTCTTTCAAGTGCCAGCTTTCACTCTGCAATGCACAAGCACCCGCACTAGCTACTGTTTCTTAGGAAGCTGAGACACACATAACCACACAGCTGCATAAATTGAAATTCATTGCTGCGTTGCCAAGATTCGCCAACAGCCACAGCAGAAATACACACTTCAGTATCCCATTTCATCTATTTCTGCAAGTTTAAACAGTATTGAGTTTGAACAATACTTGTAATTGGGGTAAAAACCCCACCAGTGTCTATTATTTGTAAAGTGTAGGCAGTACATGACACTGCTCCCCTCTAAATTGAGGAGAAAATAACTGATATTTTTAAGTTAATATGAACTCTTCTAGAGACAGGCTGTGACTCTTACTATAGAAGAGCAGGTGAAGTGTCTGTTTTCTAAACACTTATGTTTAAGGCACTGTTACTGACCTATTAACAGACCTGTCATTTTTATCACCAGTAACTACTGAAAATTTTAATATGCAAGTAATGAGGTAAAGATACAGCATTGGAAGACATATTGCATACAGGCTGCAGAGCCATGGGATTTAGTTTACCTTTACAGAGATTCAACAGTCAGATTTCACTGCAGCAAGAAGTCTGATAATGACTTTTTACATCAAGAAAACATCAAATACTTCAGATATTTTGCCTTCATGAAGTAACTTTTAACACTCAAAAAGAGTTTTCCTTGTCCCCACCACTTGTGCACTCAAATGTGGACTTTAAAAAGACATGAAATCACATGAAATTTGACTCTGTGCAAGATGGTATGCCAATGGCAAAGATTAGGTAGGCACATACACTAAAACCGAGTTCAGCCCAAAGCTGCATGTTGCTGCAAACAGCAGCAGAGACCACCAGCTGCATCTGACATGCTCTAATACAGCTGAAGTCTACACCAAAGACCAGCACACTCAAAACCTTTACCACACACCTTTACTGTAGTTGTCACATTTTGTTCTGTGAAGTGTTGATGACTTCTTGCCTCGTATCCCAGCACTGACAAGATTCTTTAAACAAGCATGAAAGGGCAAGTTTCATATGAAGGGTGAGAAAAGGTCCGGTTTCAAGACAAGAAATGGCAAATCAAGTTTGCAAAATATTTAATAGAGCAGTTTCCCAGTGGACTCCTGACCAGAATCATAACCAGACTTCTAAAAAGTATATATATATATATTCAGATTTGAAAATTTATCTTTATTTTTTACAAAATGGATTCCAGGAAGTTTAAAAGGCAATATCATAGAGGACTGGGGCGCAGAAATCAGGTGTAGTCATTCAAAGCATTCAAGTAGGAATATGGTCATATAAATATTTGAAAAGCATCTTTTATCATAAATGTTCAGAACAAAATGTATAACTCATTCCAAACTAAAAATTGAGCTTTATAGCACATATTTCCCTGAACAGAAAAAATAAGTAACTTTTGAAATATTTCTAAAGGCCTGAAAGCTTTTTCCATGGTTAGTTACAATTAGAAGACTTGCCTTAGATTAAATTCCTCCCTTTCCAAATATGGAAAGTATTAACATCAGTCCACTGTTAAAACAGACAACGTGTTGCGAATTATTTCTGGTATAGTATGTTCCAAGAAAGCCCGGAGTATAAAGGTGCTGAGGTGGCTCTGAGTTGAGTTAGTAGTCGTCTCCCCTGCTGACGACCTCCTTGCAGGTGGGGCGCAGCAGGATGGTGTGCTCGAACTGCGCCGTGTAGGAGCCCTTGATGTCGCACAGGGGCGGGTACGGATCCACGATGCCCAGGTCGCACAGGTTCTTCAGCGCCATCAGGTATTTGCTCTCCCCCAGGCGATCCAGCCACCGGCGGCAGAAGGCAAGAGTACCAAAATTTTCATTGATAACATTTAGCAAGTGTTTCGCTCTTGGAAGCCTTGGAGGGAAAAAAAACGAACAAGAATGTTGGAGAAGAAAGAAGGATCACCAGCATGTATTCACTACAGAAATAAACCACACCAACTAAGAATAAGGTTATATAGCACAGTCTTTTCAGACTGCCTAGACTTGGGATGTCTTCCTACATAAATCACATGTTCTCTTTAGAAAATAAAGTGCACTTTCCTTCTGCAAATAGATATCCTTCAAAATGGATTGTGAACCTATCTGCAAGCTAAACTAAACATAAGGACACATATTTCTCATAAAAAATAAAGGCTATTTCATTTTATAAAGAAAAACAGAATTCTTTCTGATCCAGAGTTGTCAGTAATCTGAACTAATTTTGGCAGAAGCTCGGTGGTTTAAAATGCTAAGTTTTCACTTCTGAAGTCAAATACTCAGTAAGCTTTTTATTCCTAATTTTTACAATATACAGGCATAAAAATATATATTTATAGATCTTCTAAGAACTCAGCTTAGTTGCAGTCAAGCAGTTCCTTTGTGATCTTTAGTCTAATTCATCCCATCCTCTCTCACATTCCTAATATGTGCTGTGGAAAAGCATGTCTGCCTACTATGTTTCTGACCAGAGTAGTCTTTGTTTCAGAAAATATGTTGTACTCCTAGAAATGCCAAAATGCAAACTCAGTGAACCTAAAAATGAGGATTTTTTCGTTTTACAGCAATGCATGAAAACAAAAACTCAAAACTCTCAAAACATCCATAAAATGAAACAGACGGCACAAATAGCTTAATAGATTCTGAGAATAGCAGTAAGACAAAGATTGTGACACACAACCACAGTACAGGTATTGACTAAAAAACCCACTATACATTTAATACAAAGGTGGATACACAACTATAATCTATGTATTAGTAATAATGAAAAAAATAATGGTAGGAAGATCGTTAAAAAATCAATACACAATTCTGAAAACGTATTTTCTACATTTTCAGTTTCTTGGGAATAATTCTGTGTTGTTCCACATTACCAACCAGAGAGTATTTTTGTAACAATATTGCTAGTACTGCCCTTTGAGTCCTCTGGACAGCCTTATTATTTAGTGAAGAACAAGCATAGCATCATATTTGAATCTCAAGAGGATGGTAGCTTTATCAAAATACACCAACAAAATCCAACCTTATTGGCACGTGCCCGACATCAAAGTTCTTCATATAATGAGAACACTCCATATCATCATGAACAACACCTTTTCCTGTGCTACCAAAGGTTTCTATAGCATACACTTCACCTTCCTAAGGAGAGAAAAAAGGAACATGTTGCAATATGTGACACTGTGTCATTATGATACAACATCTCAGTATTACACTTCTGAATACAAGTAATTAAATGTGAACACATTCAATTGTCAAATTAATGTAGAAAAAAAATCAACATGGAGATTTTACACATTTGAGGTATCTCCAAATCATCAACTATTTACCTTAGTAGGATTTTATTTCAAGCCAGAAGCTTGAAATATGTTTCTAGTTACAATTTCTCAAAGTCCTTGCAATTAAAACATTGTCAAGGCATACATCTAACATAGCTAAGAAACTACATTTGCTAACTGGAAGTACTTCTTTCTGTCCTAGTCAGATATAAGTCCTAGGAAATGTATAGTTTAGACATAGCAAATAGATGTTGATTACAGACACTTACTGCACTGATGAACTTTCTGCCCAATTTCTGCAAGAATTTTCTGGTAACAGGTGCTAGTATATACCCTTAACCTGCTCATTTCCATTCCATAAGATGAATTTCTTCAAGAAATGAAGGTGATAGATCTGCAAGGGTATTATTAAAATTCTAGCCAAGAACATACTGAAATGCCATTATACAAACTCATTTCTGCTAAGTCCATTCACACATCCTTAATAGCAGGACTGTGACAGGGACTTAACAAGCCTGGGCATCAAATACTAATGGACACTATGAGCTGCATTGTTTGTTTTATTAAGCTCCTTTTAAAGTCACCAGCCCAAAATAAGAAGCTATATGAAAAGCAGTAACACAGGTTTCAAATTCAAGACAAACCCTTGAAGATGTCCCTGAATATTCAACTGACTCATTAAAAAAACTACTAACCCTCAAAAAGCCCCATACAATGCTGCCACAAGATTCACTTAAAACCCACTTTTTCTGAATAAGGATAATCAGAGGCTCTGTTAGTCACAAAAAACTCCCTGGATTGCAGTTTGATACTATAATTAACACAGTACAGCAAGACCTTGGCTATGCTCCACATTCTTCACTGTCAAACTCACTGTATTTAATAATGTAGGATTGTGTCCCAAGTAACTTACAGAGGCTGAAGAAATTAAAAAAGGTGTTCTCCTCAAAACCAAGCCACTAAGTCAAACACACAAGTTTTTCTATCCTTTTCCAATACTCATAATCCCTTTGCACAGTCTTTTAGATAACATAGTTAAAACTTTTGTCTTTTTTGTGAACATCATAGGTCAACATCTATGATACAAGTTTTGGGCAATGAGAATGAGCCTACCTCAAAAAACAATCCTGTCCAGACCACACCTATGTCTATTCAGCTCTTACAAGTCTTATCTATGCTGATAGACTTAATGGTGATCATTAGTGATGAGGCTTAGAATAAAATTAAAAGCTTCTTGTCTCATCACTCATCTTTTAAATCTTATCTCATTAGAACAAGAGCTTCAGTGAAAATGATGGCTAAATCTCAGGTTCCATGTTTGAATACTGCTTTCCCAACTGGTACTTGGTCACAATCATGTACAGCCATTGATTGCCCTTCCCCTGCTCCAGAACACTATCCAAACAACATCTTTTAACTAGCCTCTCACATTAACTACAAATACACTTAATTACTTTGTATCTGCAGAGAAAAACTACATTGCAAGCTTTTCAAGAAAAATACTGTATCTAACAAAAAGTTATCCAAAACTACACTACAGAGGTATATGTCAAGAAATTACCTGGGTGAGAGAAGATTTCATTACAGAACAAACAAACAAGGACTACGAATGAGCTGCAAGTCATTCAGGAAAACCCCGATTTCCTGAATTCCAGTTCACCCCTAAATATGAATTTCTGTCCTTTTCCATGTTCCTCAATGCAACATTCCAACACTCCGTTTAATAACATATACACACTGAGAAATAAATATGCAGGAGTTTCAAAAAGTATTATTATGGCATTCAGATTTCAACAGTGGTGGGTATCTTTTGCTTTGTTTGGTGGTTTGTTCTTTAAATAGTAGCATTCCAAGGCTTCAATTTCAGCAAGTGTTAGATACCTGAACACTCCAGGGCAAAAATGAAGAAGCCACTAGGACAGAACTATTCCTGTACAGGAGCATTACACAGTACAGCAGTTATTCCACTGCAATTATTCACCAGAATCACACAAATCAAAAGGGCACAGAAATACTATTCTTGCAATGATACTGGGGAAATTTAACAGAATACAGAACTCAACTAACCTCCATTCTTGTGGCTTCTCCTCCTTTCACAATGGGTACTGTTTTTCCTGCATGTATCCTATATGGCCCAATGGAGTGTCCATTCAAATTGCGGATTGGCTTCACTTTGGAAGAGAACATTAATATTACAGGCAATTTCCTAACAAATGGTAAACCCTTTAAAGCAATTTGGCTTGTTATCCCATATTAAAAGTGTAATAGTGAGTCATCACACTGCAGAGCAACCAAACACAAAACTACCCACGTATCTTGTACAAACACCAGCTAAGACACAAGTTAGCTTTGTATGCTTTAGCAAGGCTTCATTATTAAAGAGCATCAACTCCAACAGTAATAAAAGCTTATTAATAAAGCCAAACAGCAAGTATCAAATAATCTGTACAGTTCAAAACTGTTGTTTAGCCTTATCTGTTAGAGATACAATACTTGGGAAGTATAAGCCAAGAACATTTCTCCAAAGGAAAGGCAAGCCAGCTGTAAACAAATATTTATGGAAGACTCATACTATACTTCTAGCAGATGTCTTTTCAATATCCGATGCTGAAATCAACATTTATACAAATCTATATACAGGTACACACTTCTAAAACAACTATCCCTATATGAAGAAAATAACTTACCTTGGTATGTTTTGCCATCTATTTCAACTTCGTAAGACTCCATAACTTCTTGTATGGCCTCTCCCACGTCACAGAGACGTACATCTATTCCAGCACACTGAAAATAAATGCAAATATAAATGGAAAATAATCACAACATTTACTGAAAAATACTATGGAAATTATTTGCATAAGGATCATACCTTTATTCCAGTATTTGTGGCATCCTTTACAGCTTGTAATAGTCTGTCATATTTTGGATTGAATGTGACTGTAAAAGCACAGTCAATAATACGACCTGAAATCAGCAGAAGTTAGTTAGCTTCATACTATTTGCACTGAACATTCTCAAAGTTTTAATTAATAAATGAAACTAACCACTAATATGTGTTCCAAAATCTATTTTGCAAATATCATTGTATTGCAGGACAGTTGGATCTCCAGCATTGGGAGTGTAGTGGGCAGCACAATTATTCAAAGAACACCCCGTAGGAAATGCAAGACCTGCATTTAAACCATTTTCCTTTATCAGCTTACGTGAGCAGTCTTCTAGTTTTTCACTGAAAAGCAGAGGGGAGGGAGAAGAAAAAAAAAGAAGATGACAGTTAACATTAGTATTTCTTATGACTTCAAATAAATCAGTGCAAGAACAAAACCTCAGAAAAATATTAAAGCAAATGCTTTTATGTAAAATCAAACTATCTGTATCCTAAGTAGACAGACAACCCTAGGCTGAAAAACATAGGCACAACACAACAATCTTCAGTTCTTTATGTTGTTTCCTCTACCCTTTCTTGGACAAAAATGACTCCTTCTCTATTGTTTTTCATTGAAGTTTAAAATATTTATCCCTACAAGCTATATAACCCATCCTTCCTGAACAGCAGAGGTTAGACAACCAAAGTTTCGGCAAATTAAATGCATTCTTTAAAATTACTGTGATTTAAAAGGAGGTGGGAAAAAGGAGGTAAAGCCTCTTATTTATTAACACTTTGATTGTAAAAGGACCTTTTTAAAAAAAATTGACAAAATAAAACCTTGTGAGACTAGCATTTGTTTTTTTTGTTTTGTCTCATCTCAAGATGCTAGCTACTGCAAATGCACAAATACACATCCAACAGCGCATTCTCCTTCAGTGTCAGTGAATGAGGTAAACTGCAGCGCACTGCAGTGCACCAAATTCTGATTTTAAAAAAGCCAGAGAAATATGAAAAAGGAGAGCACATTTTAGTCAGCAAAGTCCCATAGTCTGAGGTACTTCAGGAAGAATAGTCATGTTTTGAGAAAATGACTGCTTAGAATAGCCAAACTGCATAATTCACTAAGACAGATTTGTTTAATCCAGACTAGTGAGCTGCCTTTTTCCTACTTTCCCTCATGGTATATTATGTCCTAATGTTATCCTTGCACAGTTACCTTGGGGTTCAGCTCTCATTAGCTTTACTATCCTACTCTTGTCAGCACAGGCCTCAGTCACACCAGGTTGAAAGCACCTGATTTTGGAAGCTAAACTGTTCTGGATCAGTGCAGTACTTGGACAGTAGACATTCAATCTAGATAAACTGAAGGACAGAAAAAGTAATAGTTGGAAGAGCCACAATAATCAGTCCAAGCTAATTCTTTCTTTAAACTTAATCTGAATACATTTGCTCAGTTATTTCTTACTAACTGAGAATTATAAAAAACCCCATTGTGTTTCCACCAGAAACATCAGTCAGCTAATGAAGACCAGACACAGACAAAACCTTCCTGCCCTGGACTGAATACACAGCCATGCTGGTTTTATGCCTCTTTGCCCAGTTCCTGGCACAGACTGCACCTCACAGTCTACATGACATTTCATGATTCTGGCAAGCAGTAGCAGCACTGCTACTGCTGCTTCTCCCAGCATCACTGCAGAGTAGCAAAGGCACTGAAATCTAAATGAAGCATATAATCAAACTACGTGAACATCATGGAAACCTTAGTTTAAAATTCAGTATAATCCAGGCCCTGTAAAAGCTGCATAAGCTAAAAATGAAAGAGGAAACTTAAAGGAAATAATTGGCAACACTGGTTGTGTACCTCAAACACAAATCTCCCCAACACTCATTACACAGTGAATAAAGCACAAAGAACTGAGACTAAATCTCTCCCACTCTGGAAAATGAAGAAACATCTTCAGCACAGGTCTTCCAGAAGATGTGTGTCCTCACCAGATTTCTATCATTGTCATTCCAGGTTTTATCCAGCTCATAACGTATTTCCTCACTTGTCTGTGTGCCTCTGCAGCCTCCCGAAAATCATTCCAGATTTCCTCACTGGCTTGGTCTAGTGCTTTCTTTTCTTCACTAGTTGTTCTCCAAGCAGCAGTTCGCCTTGAAAATAAACAAAATGTTTCAAACAAGTTCCTATAATCACAGCAATAATTGCAACTTCTGTCTAAAGCCGGCAAGGTGTTTATTAACCAATCAGATCTACATCCCCCTGTAAGAAAAGACCTTGATTTATACAATAAAGGAAGACTATTTAAAAAAAAAAAAATCTCTACCAGTACCACAGACTAGCAACTGAGAACAGCAGTAACATCCTACCAAAGGCCCAGACAAGCAGTGTGCTTGAAGGATGCCCAAGTTTTCAAAGACACAGAACAGGCATATAAAATTCATATTAATGCCTGCAGTTCCACCTTAAATTTAGCAGGTCAAAAAACTGCAACAGGCTCTACTCATGCAAAAAGTTTTATTTTTTTCACAATCTTATTTATTCAGACAAGATTGTTCCTGTACAGAGATGAACCTCAGCACTGCAGTGTAGCTGCTTGGCCCAGAAACTGTTGCTGACACAGACAATAAGCATCTTCAAAATTTAAGAGCTTGCATTTCCAGTATTATTTTCATTCACACTCAGAATATTTAGGTAATAACACCTAACACAGTGCATGGTAAGTATGACACATGACAGAACGTTACTTTCTAAATGGGCTGGATGGTGAATTAACATTTGTTATGGGAGAGCACTACTCATTCTGGCTCTTTGGTAGGTTCATAGAAGAAATACAAATATTTTTTAATACAGGACTAAGTATAAGATTAGCTTTGAATATATTCTGTATTATGCAAAAATCCAATGCAACTAAGGTTCCATGAAAGCAAACAAAAACATAATTTAAGTATTCCAACAACTGTCAAAACTTAGCTAGAAGACTACTCTGACTATAAAGTAGAGATAATACTTCAAATGGTGAAGCTGCAGCCACATAATAGTGCAAAAAACCCTAGTGATGACTCAAAGAACTCTGTACACGCTGTGCAATACAAAAACTACCAAGAACAATTCACAGCTGCACATGCTGGCATTTCTTCAAAGAAAATGGGTGGTGGACAAGATGGACCATAGATGCTGAAATACACCAATTTTCAAATTTAGAAATTAATGCAAATGAGCTGATTCTAAGCAAACAACTGGGTACACAGAGTGTAAAGGACTAGTTTTTGAAATCCAAAGAAATAGCTTTTTACATGTTTCACAGACACGTAATTTAGCTCCACTTCCAAGTTTTCCTTACAGCCAAAAAACAGGTACAAGTCAACCAAGAGACTATGCCCTTGAGTTTTGCTGCATTTTGAACTAAGAATATATACTTATATGTAAATTTATAAGTATATATATTTATACTGAGTATTTCAAAAGAGTTGAAAAGATAAAGGAAGATAACAGGCTACTCCATAAATCTTTCTCAGGATGATCAGAGGATACAAAATATTTTGAGACCCTTTTGCTTGTTTCCATTGAACTTTCTGCTTCTTTTCAGATAAAAGTGCAAAGCAGAAATCCCACATTTACCTTTCTGAGCAGTTTTCTTGCTCCAGTAGCAAGCATCACACATACTACTCTTACAATTTGCCTCAATTGGGCAAATTCTACCAAAAAAAGAAAACAATGTACTGTATAACCTGGGCCCCCGCTCCACCACGAGAAAACTGGACTTCTGCCAGCACAGTAGTCATTGAAGATGGAAAAGGTGCACTGCAGAAAAACACTGGGGACAAAGACTCAATGATCCTTTCAGACTGTTCTGGATTCCAGCAGCGAACACCCCTTAGTAGCAAGAACTGCTGACAGAGTCTGGGCAGCTGCTCTGCCATCTGTCACAGACCTGAGTGCAAACTCCAGCAAACTGGCAGGAAGCCACCCTCATTCTGTCTTACTGTACTTCAGCATTTAGTCACTTCACACAAGTCAACTGGTGAACAGAACTGCCTCTACCTGTAAAAACACTGTATCAGACCCAAAGCATTGTGCTGAAAAGCTGCACTATGACCACCTGGGAGCTCAGGAATGGAGGCAACAAGAATTTCTGCTAGGGCCTAAGCACTTCAGGACACATGAAAAATCAGTTGGTCAGATGAAGGCCTCACGCCAAACATCAAATCCTCCAATGGTACATGAGCTAACAAGCTTTTAGCAGTTTACTAATGTGCTGCCTGTTACATGTCAGCCAAAGAAATTCAACTGTTGCTCCAAGCCAATTGGTCCAGCTTTTCACTTCAGTTCACAACCTGCAGTTTTCACCAGTACAAATCTTTACAGGATCACCCTGTATTTAGATTATAGTGATCAAAGAAATCCAGAAAATAATTTCCCCATATTATCTTGCCCCAAATAATCCAGTCATGCTGTAGGGAAGGGTTGCCATTCGAAGGGACCATTATAGGCTTGAGAGGTGGGCCTCTGTGATCCTCACAAAGCTCAACAAGGCCAAGTACAAGGTTCTGCACCCTGGAACAGGACAATCCCATCACAAATACAGGCTTGGTGAAGCATGAATTGAGAGCAACTCTGAGGAGAAGGATTTGGGGGTCTTGGTGGACAAGAAGCTCCACATGACCTAGCAATGTGCACTCACAGCCCAGAAAGCCAAATCATAAACTGGGCTGCATCAAAAGCAGTGTGGCCAACAGGTAAAGGAAGGTGATTCTACCCCTCTACTCCATTCTTGTGAGACCTCACCTGGAGCACCACATTCAGCTCTGGGACGCCCCGAGATAAGAAAGATATGGAGCTGTTTCAGTGAGTGCACAGGAGGGCTATGAAGATGATCAAGGCTGTAAGCACTGCTTCTGTGAAGACAGGCTAAGAATAAGTGGGGGCCTGCAGCCTGGAGAAGAGAAGGCTCTGGGGAGACCTCACAAAACCGTCAGAACCTGAAAGGGACAGCTTTTTTCCATGGTCATGTAGTGACATGACATGGGGTAATGATTATAAACTGAAAGATGGTATGTTTAGATTAGAATCTAGGGAGAAATCCTTTACTCTGAGGGTGTTAAGGCAATGGAACAGGCTGTCCAGAGAAGTTGGGGAAGGTGTCCCTGCCTAGTAAGGTTACAAGTAGCTCATCTTCAAGGTACCTTCCGAAGCAAACAAGTGGCTCTGTAACAGCAAAGACGTAGAAACAAGTAGACAGAGTCAAGGATTCCTTAATTCTACTTTAACAAAATTGGTGTATCATGAAATACTGCTTATTTATTTTCTGCCCTCCCAGCTGTATAATTTCAAATTCCCACATCTGCAAGAAAAAACACAAGCTTCAAAAACAAACAAACAACTGGAGATATAAAAATGTTAAACCTGTTAGTCTGTTGTCTATGGAAGTATTGATTATCTGCTATTATCTGCTATTTTTTTAGGCTGAAATTTGAACACCCACTTCTAGCTGAACTTCTCACACAAAATACACAATTGTGGGTTAACGAGAGGTAACTTTAGAAAGCACATGACATTAACAGTTAAGAATAGAAGTGCAACTCTTAAAAAATCAAAGGCAAAACCCTACTGACCTCAGCATGAGTAAGACATGGCAAAAAAATGCTCCACCAATATATAAAATGAAGGAATTACTCAGAATATGAAATATCCTGGCATTAATGTCAGCTACTAATTTAAGTAGTAGCATATATTAAGAAATACTAAAGTAGTATTTAGTCTACTAAGTTTAGTAAGATTTGAATATTTAAATTAGGAAGAAAACTAAGCACATATTTGCTTAAGCACATTACACGAGGAAACTATTTCAGGTTCCTTAGAAGCATATATTCTTCCTCCATAGCAGAACATCAGGTACAGAAAATACACCTCACTTAAATCCTGTTATGAAAGGAGGTTTGTTTTTATGGCTTTTGTCCTTTTTCTTTTCAATAAATAGTAGCTAAACCAGAGAAAATATCTTAATCTTCAATAGCTGAATATGTATGAGAGGTATAAAAATAGTGTGTTATTTGTCAATAAACTATGTACATGCTTGTTTATTACCTAATTTCCTGGTTTATTTAAATTATGAGCATTGTACAGGTTAAATACTTAACTCTTAAACATTAAAGAGTCACTCCTGGATCAGCCTATCAGAACTATCCTGTGCAAGCACTTCATTAGCATGCTGATCTTGTGCACGCAAAGAAGGCAGTAATTTATAAATAAACAGGAGTACACCTTGTGTTCAAAGTCAAGCAATGAAAAAGAAAAACCCTCCTTGAAAGCAAATTTTCATCCCATAAAAATGAAACCATATTATCTGAATACAATTCATAGGGGGTACTGGACTCTTACTTATTTTACTTACATTCTATAAGAAACAGGCATTGACTTTAAATAACCAAATAAAAAAACATTTCAGAGTAATTTCATTCTCAAGTAAAAGACATTGAAAACTAGACAATGGTTTCAGACACAAATATTTACCTACTTTCTCCCTTGGTTCAAACTATCTTTTCAGGGCTTTGATTCATTATTTCCTGGTAAGTTTCAGAGTTTTCAGTAATACCTGGTGTTTTTACTCAAGTTTGCATACTGTTCAAGCTAATTCTATGCCATGCATCCTCTGTCTCTCCCAGGTAAAATATGACCTTCCACAACACTTCACATAGGAAAAAAAAATTCAGGAAAACGCATTCAAGTTGGTATGTCCTAACAATGCACAAAGAAACAATAGTCTCCGGTAAAAACATAAGGCTGCAGATCTCCGTTCCAGTGAGCCACTGGAAGCTGTTGTTTCTTTAGTGCAATTCTCACATCACTGAGAGTTACAAAAACAGGTGAGGTTACAATAACTACATACTCATTCCAAGAAAGAGAAACAAAGTACAGAATACATCATGTAGGCTTTTAAATTACATGGAGAGACTTACACATCTCTACCAAAAAATAAGTAACAAAGAGTTGGCATCTCAACAGCCATAAAACTGCTGCATAATAGTGTCTCATCTCCCTGAATTTTAAACCTGCACTCACTTCTAATTCAAAGTTTTTCTTACAAGCTGCCTACTGAAAGTCTCTTAGCACCCTGGGTCTCAAGGGCCCCCTGACTCATGACAATTCTGCTTATACTGGCTATACCTTAATTAAAAGGGTAGAAAAGGACAAGCATTTCTGGCCTGAAGACCTGTATTCATTGAGTTCCTTGGTAATCCGTTTAAAGGAAAAAAGGGGCAAAACCCAATGTACAATATTAATTTTGACTATTTAGTTGTAGATTAATATTTTTTTTCAGCACATCAAAATGAAAGCATTTATTTCTTAAGCTTAAAACACTCACCCATCTTGTGTTGGTGGATATTCACATTCTTCTCCCTTTGGGAATACATTGCTGGGAAATAGATCACATATTGGAATAGAAGGTGGATCTGTCTGGACCTTAGCTGTTGTGTATAATTTAAGAAAGTGTTACACATGGGACTCTGGAAACACGAACCATCTTATTTCAAGCATAGAAGTTAAACAACAGAAGTTATTTAAGATCCCCTTAACTAGAATCTGGGCTTCTACCAAGACAACATTTATCACAATGCCCTCCTATGACTTGATTTATCCAATGCTCAAGGCCAATTAATGGCCTCAATGGCATTCAGGGATACCAGAAAAGACAACTTGGCTAGACTTAGCCTACAAACACAAACTGCACCCCTAAATTTATTTCAGCTGCAAGAACAGCACTTGCACACACTTAATACCAAATATTCACATAGTCTGCGTTTTTGTGCTTGATACCTACGTCCTTTCTTCTTTTTCTTCTTCTTTTTCTTTTTCCCAGTTGCTCCATCTCCTTCACCGTCTCCATCTATAGGAAAGAAAGTGCTCAGCTGACTATAAAATAATCTTAAAAGAACCAAAGTTTGAATAAAACACAAAAATATCTGGACTATATGGAAACACTTCTCCCACAGCAAAATTTAATGGATTAAGAGACAACATCCAGAACCTGCCACCAAACCATCAGGATTTTCAGTCCCTACACCAAACACAGACCTAAGAAAATAGTTTTGAAAGTTGACAACACACCTAACATCAAAGGAAAAAAGAGAGCTCAGGCAAAGTGTTTTCAGAAAGTCCTATCTCATATTCCTCTGCACCTGGAAAGATAAAGGCCCCAAAGAAGTAAACATGACAGCTCTCTATCTATGCCAGGGTAAGTTTGATCTTGAGATAACAGGGAAGGTCACAAACAACACTCTCAGCAAAAGCACTGAATGTGTGAGATACAAGGGTGGTCAAACACTGGAACAGGTTTCCCAGAGAGGTGGAAGATGCCCCATCTCTGGAAATAGTCAGGGATCAGGCTGAATGGAGCTTTGAGCAACATGATCTAGCTGAAGATGTCCCAGCATATTGCAGGGCTTGGACCAGATGACCTTTAAAGGTCCCTTCCAACCCAAAACATTCTATGAATCTACACCAGTAGGAGGTTTCCAGGGAGCACAGCAGGTAAGCACCAAGAATCAGCTACACCATTTACAGTCGCATTTGGGAGGTAACAACAACCCTGCAGACTTCACATTTGGCTACATCTAATCCCTACTTACTTCACGCTCAATATCTCAGGTGCTATCAGCTACCTAAACGTTTTGGTCCTAAACACAAATTCTTTTCAAAGTAGAGAAGTACTACTCATCTACATGTAGAACATTTTCAACTACAGCAAGAAGTAAAATTAAAACAACTTTTAGAATCAAGTCAAAGCATTCCATTTTGAGTGTATTTATACACAAGCTTGCATTTAAAAATCAAATCAAACCACTGACCAGCTGCTCCAGTCACTAGATTTCATGATAGTCAATATCATGGCATAAAATTGCTGATGCTGAGTGCTGTAATTCTGCAGTTGGGGCAAATTTCTGTAATGTCACTCTTGTCCCTCATTTTGGCATTAAGTACCTTAATTTAAGTTTTGGTAAAAAAAATGCAATTTTTTTGTATCTATAACATAATCCCAACATACCAGATTTTTCATCAATCTGTATTTTATAGGCAACCAAAAATCCTTACCAGTGCATATGAATTTCTTTAAAATGTGGTACCTTTGTCACATTTGTCTTGACCTTGAGCACCACACAAACCATTCATAAAGAAATTAATTAGACATACTCCAGTTCATTCACCAAGTGATTTCTGGATTATTCTTTCAAAGGCTAGGCCTAAACTAAAGAGAAAAAACCCCCAGCATTTCTTAAATATTGTTGCTGTTGCTATCTGCATATTGTAGGTTCTTCATACATCACTGCACGTGAAACTGCCAACTGCAAGCCAAACTAACCCTGTCTATGCTTTCATGTCCTTGAAGACTGCTGCAGACTAACTGTGCTGCCAGAAACATAACTACTGCATTTGACCAACACTGTTTGTCTTCCAGTTATTTAGCTGCTAAGGAAAAAAACTGTCACCAGAAAAGCAATTTCAGATCTTTGCAAAACAGAAGTCTAACCTTGTATAATTTTGGTATAGATATTTAACAACTTAGTGCAGTATCATGCAAAAATGTTACAAATCAGCATTTTAATATGGCAAAGGAAATCCAAAGAGCACTTGCTAATCTCTCCCAGAGTTCAAAAGTTATAGAGTCTCCTTTTTGAGGCCACTCAGTTATAGACTTATTGGGGGTGGGGGGGGGTGGGGGGTGGAGTAGTTATTTTATTGATTTTAATCTAATGCTGCATGTCTTAAAAAAACAATTCTGAAACTACACAATTAAGATGGCAAATAGTGAGAGCCAGTACAGGTAAGAACACAGCTGTCTTCAAAACACTTGAGTTAAAATTTTTCTGCAAAAGTATCAGTTTTACTAAAAACACATCCAAGTATGATATGTGGGAAAAAAAAGAGATATTATTAATTCAGTCATAGCATCACTTCATTGTTTTATGCTTTCTAATACTATAGTACAATTACTAATACTGTAAAAAGGATAAGAGAGCACAGCATTTGATCTACAACTATCATTGTTATTTCCCCAGAGAGAGAACTCCTATCTATGAAATCATCCTAATGATTTCAACGATTTCTTTCCATTGTATACAGTTTTCACTACCCTCCTCAATACTTCTTCCTCAAGTTGCAATGATGGTAAAGCACATATTGCATTAATTTTAACTCCATAACCTGAAAGATACCACAAAACAAGCCATAAGAATACATTTCTATGCAAAGTACCTGCATTAAACTTGATGCTACGAATTAGTAATGGTCCAAGATAAATTTGTTTCTTAATACATCTCAGCACTCTCATTTAATTTTTTAAAACTTCCATACCCAATTCATTAAAATGACATTCCAGAAGGACAAATTCCAGCAAGTGAACTAAGAAGATTTCTAAGCAGACTGCTCAAAGTGTTGAGCCAACTTAATATGCTAATTCAGAAAAATAAAACTAAATTAAGAAATGTGTTTTCCTAAACATCCATTTCCCTTGAGAACCATCCATCAAACCAAAGGAAATACATCACCTTTATTCAATCTTCCTACAGAAACGACAGACCCAGTCTGGATTTCACTACAGACACTTTCAAGGCTCTTGCTCAGAAAATCAGTTACACAGCACAAGCAACACACAAAGTGTGTGTCATGCTTATGTATTAATCTCCCCCTAATTCAGTTTTAATGAAAGATAATAATTACAGATGAGCAGGATTCAAGTCACTGGTAAAGACTGTAAGACCTATTAATTAAAATGCTCCCTTAAAATTTTCTCTGCATGTTTTAAGTCAAGAATAAGAGACATATTTTGAAACATAAATGTCTACTGGCCATGGTAATGCAAGTGAGAATGATTTACAGCTTACCTTATCTTAAACTAAACATTCCCCTTCAGCAGGTAGATCCTTGAAAACACAAACCTTTAACAAAGTACTGCTGTTACTTTTATATGTATGCCTGTGTGACAGCAAAATCATTGACAAAAAGTAGAAAGTATAGATAGTTGAATCTTGCCTCTCCAAAAAGAAACCCAACCAAAATCAAACCAAGACATCTGTAAACAGTCTGTTAAAAGGGAGTCTTGGAAGAAGCTGAAACTGGAAATGTTAAGAGAAAATAGTAAGTTATACTTGCCATCATCATCATCATCTTTTTCTTTCTCCTCTAGGGCTTGCTTGTCCAATTGTTTTGCTACATCATCAAGAGCACCTTCCATTTCTTTATCAGTTTCTTGTCCTGTTTGTAAAGTTAAAGTATGACTTACAGTAAAACATTAGTTCCACATTAGTAACCATTAGCCCCTAAAGTTACATATAAAACATTATGCTGTACTCATCCTACAGACACCTGAGCACCTAATAATACTTTTTTCTGTCTTAAAGCAGCCCCAAAGTGCAAGGCTATAGGACAGTACAGTGACAGGTGCTGTTAATGAAACCTGCATATAAAGGTAGATTAGCCCGACACTTCTGATTCCTTTTTTCTGCCAGGGAAACTAATTATTCTTCCCATAGCAGCAGCCTGCTCTTGTGGGATAATATGGGCGTGAAGTAGATAATTATAAACGCACAGCACGATCATGGCTAACTGATGGCCTGCTAAAACAAACCCAAACCATCGCGCCTTTAAACTATTTGCCCAGACTTGCTCCAGCTCTCTCCGAGAACTTGGGAGGGGTGCAGAGCCTTCATCAGACAGGATAACTTTTACAACAGCAGTTTTACACCTTTCTCCCCTCGGGGCATAGGAGAGGGTGAGGAAAGCGGTGGTTTCGCTTGCGCACAGAGGAGCGGGAAGGACACCCCAGCCCCAAGGAACGGCAGCAGCATCCTCCGGGCACCGCCAGCCCCCTCCGAGCCTCCCCTTCAGCCCACACCGCCGTCAGGGCCCGGGACAGCGGCCTCGGCGGCGCCCCGCACCCGCACGCCGGGACCCTGGAGCCACCCACGTCCGCCTCCGCCACGCCCGCTTCCCGGTGTGCCGGCCCGAGGCCCCTCACGCCGCCCGGCCCGTCAGCGCAGGGTCGCGGTGCGGCCCGGCCCCTACCCGCGGGGCCCGCTCTGCCCTTCTTCTTCTTCTTGCGCTTCTTCTTGGCGCCATCCTCGGCGCCGAGCCCGGCTGCGCCGTCCCTGTCCTCGGGCTCGGGGGGCAGCTCGCCGTTGAGGTGCTGCTCCCGCTGCTCCGCCCGCCCCACGCCCGCCATGTCGCCGCGGCCGCGCCGCCTCGCGCGCACGGAGCGAGCCGGGGAGAGCGGCGGGGCCGGCGCCACGCTCCGGGGTGCGCGCGGGGCACGCCGGGACGGCGGAGGACTCGGCCGGGAGGGGGCGGGCCCTCGGCCGCGCACGCGCGCCGCCGCCGGGGTGCGCGCGCGGGCCCGTGAGGGGGCGGCGGGGCGGGGCCGCGCCCGGCTGCGCGGCGCGATAAAACATGGAGAGGAGAAATGTTGCAAAAACATCCCTTTCGCTCAGAAGGAACGGCTGCGGCGTTCCCTTACAGCATGTAAGGTTGTTAGGGTTTTACCATTTGCGGGCACTGAGGAAATGTGACTAACACGAGGGATAACTGGTGTACAAAACGAAAATAACACAAGGGGAAAAAATTACTTGTTACAAGTAACATAGAGCAAAAAAGGGAATATTCTAATACGTTATAAAGGACACTGCTTTTCCCCATTTCTACTACTCTGTAGAAAACCAAGGCAAAATGCCAATATTGCCAGCATCCACTAATGAAGGATTAATTCAGCCCAATCCTTAAAATTCATTTACTGAATGAAACCTTTTCACAGATTTTCTTCTAGTATAACCATACTGGCTGAAAAATATTTTTCCTTTTTGGTATACTTGTAACATAACACGGTATAATATAGTGCCATTGTAATTTATAGCATACAAAGATTCAAAACAGGCCTTGTGTTGCAGGCAGGTCTTTGCTGGGGAAGCTGGTAGTGCCTTGTTCCTCACCAAGGTACAAATTCTGCCCCACTGGCCCCACCGGGGCTGCCTGATCCCGTCTGCCCCTTCCCTGGGTCACACCCATGGGCATCTCCTCACTCCTCACCTGATACAATTCCCGGCAAGAACAGAACTCAAAAAGACTAAACTAATGCTCTGGTACTGATCAAAGTCCATCCTGCTCCAGGCAAGTGTCACAGCAGCATGATATCCATCCACTGCTCTCATGCTGAGAACGGATGGCACAAAGCATGACACTGAGAATGGATGACACCAAGTGCACTAACGCTGCCTAGAACACTCTGGATTTATTGCTTTCTATTCTAGTTTTCTAATTAGGTAGAAGCAGAATCTACAGAGGTGGTTTGGTTTGGGATTTTATTGTGGATGGTGGCAGGAGAAAGGGGGAACATCAATGGAGAATTCCCTGAATTCTCCATTTTGAGACATCTTACATCTTCCTGTTGTGCATTTACTGTAGTTGGGCACTGTAATGCTCCCAGGATATCGGACAACAGTGATTTTGTGGTTTGCTTTAATCCATTAGTCTCGTATGTGAGAGTGCTCTACCCCTTGCTCTAACCCCTCTAGTGGCTTTGACAGCTTGAAAAAGTGCTTGTGCTCCCACTCCATTTAATCTGGTGTGTACCAAAAAAGACATGTTGCCAGACCACAGATTTTGTTGACTCTAAAAGTGAAGTGACAGATAAAAGAGTCCATAAAATCTACAGATGCCCAAGGAAGACAGAAGGAGAGATATTGGCCAGAGATATATAAAAAAGAATACATCTCATGTAGAAGCTGCAAACATGAGATCTGGAAATGCATCAGAGGAAAAAAAAACACAAGCAGAATAAATGTTTCTGTGATTAGCTGAACTAACAAAGGCAGTTTTCTCAGAGCATTGTTCCTTTCCTCCCCAGAATGACTCTGGCACCATTCATATTTACTGTGATACCACAACAGAGAGGGAGAGATGGCTTGTGCCACATGGTTCAGCAGTTTGGCCTGTCTCTGTTTAGGTGGGGACATTTGTTTGAACTGCTATTGTCTACTCAGCTGTCCAAGTGTCATTATGTTTGGGTGTTATTCCACCAATTTTGTCTGAAAATGAACCTTCACATAAACCTCCTTCCTTTCACAAAGTTGGCTGAAAATAAATTGTAGAATGGTGTCACACTTAACACAGAATATAGTAAAGCCCAGCAGAGTGAAAGCAAACTGTGAGTGAGCTGGAAGAAGCAGGATTAACCAAGTGTCTCTACAGTTTGAGAAGATGTTATTGGACTCAGGCTGTGTTCAGCAGGCTCTCAGGGAAGAGGGCACATTGGACAAAGCAAAGTTAAGCATTTTCCAGGTTATGCTACTTCCAGACCCAGAATTAGCACCAAATATAAGAGAATACGGATAACTGAGAGGGGAATAGCATGATAAACAATATGCAAAAATAGAATGCTCTATTAAAAAAATTGCAAAGTGGGATTAAGAAGCTGGCCTGACTGCACTGACAAAGCAAATATTAACATGAACAGGCTGACAACTGGTTCCATGTTCCCCATCTGGCTGCTTTTAAGAGGAACCAAGCTCATGGATGCAGAGAGTCAGACACATCTTGTAGAATGCCCTTACCAGCTCAGAGTTTTTTGTCCTTCTTCTATTATTGCCAGTCAGCTGTTCCTAGCATTTAATACACATTATATTAATGGATGCTATTTTACCCAATTGCATGCTGTACTAAACAGCATGATAAGGTGAAAGTATTGGCCAGGCTGTAGGCCAGGAGAGACTGTGAGTACCATTTTTAGCTGGGGGGTTTTGTTTTCTCACTATTCATTTTTCTTAACCAGCCTCCCGGAAAAAGGCAGGCAGTGGCTGGGGAATTAAGGGGAGGGCTGAATGCAGTCCAAAATATTCAGCAGGATTTGAAACACTTTCCTGAAAGTGACAGAGAGTCACCTCCTCTTAGTTTTTTTCTAAGGAGTCTGCTCCAATTGCACTATTTTCCAAGAAAACAAAGTTATGATCTTCAGAAAAATACCTTTTTTTAGGGCATGTTGTGTTTTATTTTGTGTTTTGTTTTCAAATTGTATGTAAATATCAAGAAATGGCATGGAATGGAGTGGAGGATCTGTATCTGACAGCTGTAGTTTAATCCTGTAAAGAGGGTGTGCAAGGACAACTAGGGATTAAGTGGCCTGTATCAGCCCCCAGAAGAGTTGAACAGTGGGATATTACATTTGTTTCTGTTTGTATTTCTAGGACTGATGCCCTTATTTATGTGTTTATGACACTTTAATACTCTTTTTCCTAGCTGAGGGCCAAAACTCATAGTCCTTACTTAGCTGTAAAAATTCACTGAAGGCAATGGGAAAATTTTTATGACTAGAGGTTTAATATTAGGCCTAAATGCTGGAAGCAGAAAAGGAAAATGTTTCCTGCATGAGAGCAAATATGTCTTATGGACTCTAGAAGGAAATATATTCCTTGTAACCCATTGCTGAGCACAAAGAATTCTTATACTTCCTCAGCCATCTCTAAAATTTTCTCATGACTTAGATGAAGTAGTGAGATCTAAGTGGCAAAACCAGACAAAAATTCACATTTAACTCTGTTCACTGTGGTCTTCTTTCCACATTCCTTAGTGATTGTTTGTTTTTTTTCTTTTTGCTGAACACCAGTTAGATTACAGTCTGTCAGCTGTAATCTAAATATACTGCCTTGCCTCACCTGGTGTCCCAATATCTGTGTCCCTTGGAGGACAGGTTTCAAGGGATGTATGAGTGCTTCTGAAAAGAAGCAGATTTCGTCTAAGTGTGAAAGTCACTCTGAGAGGCACAGTCTGCTGTGTGTGTACTCAGACTGGGACAAAGCAAATGCTTCTCAGTTTTCATTAATAAATGCATGCTGTGAAATAGGAAAGTAAGTCAGCTTATGGACTTCTTTAGAGCTTACTTTTCAAATTGCTTTTAAACTACACAATTCATGTGACGAAAACAAGTCAGTGCCTCAGGAAGACTCCCTAAATTTCTGTGACAAGGAGCTATTGCATTAGGCAGGTATGCAGAAACATACATTAGGACACACTGCACTGAGCATCTCCCTGACAGCACATCTTTGTGCCTGTGCCTAGTCTTGGTAAGGGATAAAAGGCTACAGAGAGCTGAGACCCTAGACTGCTGTTTTCAATATTATTTTTGGTATTTATGATAGAGTAATTAAAATTATTTTTGATAATAAAAGCATCTTTCTTGTTGTACTCACTGAGCCATAACTGCAGATGGAAGCAGTCTTCTTTTTCAAATAACAAACTGAGACATTGTATAGCCTCATAAACAATTGTAGGTCATATCTCCTGAAAACCCTAATTTAGAGTGGTATGAACCTAAATTATCAGAAAGTTATATTTTGTAATAAATTTTATGTAATTTAATACACTGATGTATTAATGTATTCCCATTCACACAGTGAAGAAAATTTTCAAGACCTCACACAGAAAGTGATTTCTGAGCTTCACTGTTAGTGAAAAAAGCACTAACAATTTCTTTTCCACAGCCTGCTGATGTAGCAGCTTTCTTCTGGGCTGCTCCACCCCTTCTTCATTCTGGGGAGTAATGGAAGTAACATTCACAGCTGCAGTGCTGGAGACAGTACATGTATATTTCTTTCACCAGATATTTTCCTTTTGTCCAGGATAGTCTTCTATTTCACCTTCACACCTCCTCCAGTCTTAAATTGGAAACAGTCATTCATTTTGCTGTAGATGAAAAATAGAATGAAAAAGAAAGGCAAGAAACCAGAACTGTTCTTGTATTTCACTGTAGATCTTCCCCCTGGCTTTACTGCTAGGTAATGGTGTGACACCATTAGTGGTGGGAGCAAGGAAATTTCTGTCAACTATTTTCAAGGAAAGCACAAAAATTATCCCCAAGGCAGATGTGGCCAGGACAGAGCAGGAGAGGCGGGGGAAGCACAGGACCAGAACTGGCACTCTGCCATGCAGTGTGAGCAGAGAGAGAAGTGGGAAGGTGACAGTGTCCTATATTTAACCCTACCTCCTTGAGCTGTGATACCTAATGTTCATTTCTGCTGTCAGCATTTCATGAGTTTAATATATTTAACCTAAAAACTTTTAATGCCACAGAATATCTTTGTTCTACTGTTTTGGCTTGGTCTGAACAATAGCACATTGCTGGGTGCAGAGCCCTATGGATGTCATGAAATTCATGTCTGCTGACTAATGTACTGGGAGGCAGTGTTCACAGCATTCCTCTGGGGTGTGACTCCCCAGGATAACTGGGTTTTAAGTTCAGATCTCATCATATTTGCTTTAAACTGATATTTTTGTTCCA